TTTTCCAGCTGAACCAATACCAGGTGTTAAACATTGAACAATATCTTTTATTTTATATGTTAATTCTTTATTATTAAAATTTTGATTCCAATATTTTTTATTATCAGGTATTGTTTCTATATATTGTTGAAATGAATTTATTAATTTTTCATATAAAATATTATCAACATTAAGAATATATTTTGAACGAATAAATTTTCTATTATAATCTTCAATAAATGTCATTTTATTTAAATGTTCAATATGTGATTTAATACGTGTTTCATTTAATAATTTTTTTATTTTTCCTGAAGTATTTTTTAATGTTAAAGCAAAATGATCTTTTGATTGTTTACAAAAAATATTAATTTGTTTTAAATATTCTTCAATACAAACAGTTAAAATTTTTTGAATATCATCATCAGAAAAACCTTTTGAATAACATAGTAAATTAATTGAAGCACATAAACGTTTAACATCCCATGTAAATGGACCAATATAACTTTCATCAAAATCATTAACATCAAAATTTAGAATACCATTACTATCTAAATATGTACCAAAATTTTCAGCATGTAAATCACCCTTCAATAAAGAATTTTTATTTTCAAAAATTTAATATTTTGTTTTTGTTTTTTTTTTTAAATACTTACATGAATAAAGATTTGTCCAGCTGCATTATGTTTTAATATAAACGGATCTTTATCAATTTTTAAGTCTTGATAAAAAAGTACTGCTGAACCACGATAAAAATTAAATGATGTAGCAGCCATTTTACGAAATCGTGTACGAAATGCATCTGGATTATCACGTATTCCATCTTTGAAAGAATCTATAAATGTATCGATTATAAATTTAGAACGTTCTTCATTTGTTTGTGATTGAATACGATAAATAGCTTTCTCAGATGCATTTATATTATATGATAAACGATTTGAATGAGATTGTTTTTTTATGTTTGACATTTAAAAAAGAAAAAGATTTAGTAAAAGATGTTTTTTTTCTTTTTTTAAAAGATGGTTTGAGCATACAGAAAAACTTATATATACTAGGCAAAGATTTCTTCTCTGTTTCTTTTTCTTATCAATTTTATGAGTTTACGACGTAACCAAACATAAAAAAAAGATATTATGTTGAATAACAATAATAATAATAGGTTTGTTTTTTAGTGAAGAAAAAAAAAGCAAAATTCAAACAAGATCATGATCATAAGTATCAATGATTTAAAGAATACAAAAGAAAAAGCTGTTAGTGCAATATCTCTGTGACTAAAATATCAAACACGATGTAGCTGCTCTTGCTAATGACAGGAAATTACTTTACTCTATCTAGTTTCAGACACATTTCTTCACTATCGTTTTACTTAATCTCTCAGAAATGCAATAAGAAAGTAATTCATATATTTTAATGAGATGTGAATCTGTGATCGTATATCAACAATGTATATCACGATTTGTGACACGAGAGGAAATGTTGCTAAGATGTTTGTCAAGATTTGGAATAGTTTTTAACTACAATAGTTGTATTTTCCGTTCAATTTGAACTTGAAATTCATCAAATAGTTGTTAAGAAGGATGGTTTATACCACAGATGGGATTGGTTCGGTTTAAATTTTGAAAAATATGAACCGATCTCATCTTTGAGTAATTCGTTGGATAGGAATCATTTAAATATTTGATCAAAACAAAGATGATTGAAAATATAATCGTACTAGAAAGTTATATCACTTATTTTTAACAATGAAGGGTTAAAATGTCTTTCATTTTCTTTCTCTCTAAGTATTCAATGAAATATTTTGTAATCTTTTTTTCGTATTATTCAAATAATTCATCTCTATGGATAATGTTACATTCATTAATGAATTAATAATTTATTCATAAGATTCGAATGTTTAAGGTTCTAATTTTCAAAATGAGTGCATACTTGTAACTGTATATTAAACGGATTAAAGAATTTTTGAATTAGTGTTAACTTACGAGAGAATCCTTCCAACTGATACCTTTCATTCGAGCTCATATGTTATTTTGTTCATAACATCGATCGTAGAGATAAAGGTCCTAGAAATTAAAATGTGACATTCAGCCTTTCATTTCAAGTTATAAACATTTTACTGCATATTTTCAGTCACTTACCCGTTCGGACGAAAAATATTGAATCAAGGAATTTTATCCAGATATAAATGTTATGTTCTTTATAATATTCTGAAACTCTAACCTAAAGTGGATGCTGCTTTTCTATCTATCTCGATTAAAAATTACCATAATTGTTCCCTTCTCGCAAGAAATTTGAAAAAATTCACTTTCTTGACAAGAACCTATCTGCTTCGACTTAGCTTTCAGGATATTACAAGGATCATTAAATCTATTTCTAGGCAATCCTTGATTCTGTATCTTTCATTCTATCTTGTCATTAGTTAAAATTGCAGTACAATAATCATAATTCGAAACAGACGACCTGATGGTACATATTCTTTTAGAGCTTTTATAGCCACGATAGATCTTACCAATTAGTAAATTATGAGCTCGAACGAAGATCACCAATTGGAGACATTTCTACCTTAGTTTCATTCTATCACACTTTCATCAAAAAATTTAAGCCATCGAAGTAAAATTGCTTCGTCTTCTTCCTTATTTAAAAAAGTCTAAAACATTCAAAATGCAACATTTTTTCTTATAGTATTCGAGTCTTATTTTTGTTCATTGAATATTCTTGTTTATTAATGAGACATTTTAAGTATCTTAATATTGTATTAATCAACTTTGAGGAAATTTCAAAGCCACATATTCTCAAGGTCTGTTCTCTATGTGTTTTATATTTTAATAATAAATATATGGAACAATGCAAGCAAAACGTCGAAAAGAAACAGTTTAGTTACAAAAATATCTGAAAAATGAAAAAATATTCATAAAAATTTGATTGGAAATCAACGATGAACAACTTCTATATAATCATTCAAAGTTGAAAACAATTCTATAAATATCAATCGCAGATTATGAAATTGACCGTTCAACATAACTCGTCTTCACGTAAATTCTTGCTGGTTTTTATTTTTGCAACATGAAGAAAACCTTCCTCTAAAATACTTGCCTAAATAATTTATGATTCACACTAGAGATATGAAAATTAAGGATAATATTCATCTAGTCTCAATAGACTCGATATGTCAATCGTTATTCGTTAAATTTGTATAAATCTAATTGATTCTCATATTATGCAATTTGAAATATTTTATAACTTCTCGTTATATTATCACTAATTCAGATGCTCAAGATATCAATAAAACAATTTTCGTTCAATTTAGCTTTTTCATTGATTACTATGTTCATTTTGTTTGCTTGCTTTCCATGACAATCGGATTATCTTAACACATCGATGTCTCTATGTGTTATAATGTTATCATATTTATCTATTTCTTCATATACATTTTAGCTGATAAGAACTACATATATTATCTTCATTTTTTTCATTCTTTCATTCATAAAAAAAAGGGACACATTTTATTTGTATTCATGGCTAATATAAGAAAAAAACCTATTTGGCTTGATTGTGATCCTGGACATGATGATGGATTTGCTATTATTCTAGCTGCATATCATCCATCACTTGAATTAATTG